GCCCGCTACTCATCTGAGTACCTCACTGAGAAAGTTATGTGCACCCCTGTGTATAGCACCATAATGCAGCTATAAACAATATTGTTTTAAAGGTACCCATTGGAGATTTTGATAGTTAGTTGTGCTATATATAGACAATGTAAAGGGAAACGTATGAACTACTGAGAATTTAAATAATCTAAACCTGTGCTTTTGCTAAAGAAAGGTGTGGAGCTGATATAGCACTTCCTTGTTTAACACCAGCTGCAGGTGTATCTTATAAAAAGTTGTGAAAGTTATCGAAACACACAATATGAAAATTAGGAAGCCTGTATATTATACATGTCATTACAGATAGCTTGTCAGCGTGAGAGAGAAGCCCTGAGTAGTGTTACTTTTAACAGTATTCATTTGTTCCAGATGATTGTAGCTTCCAGGAAAGAAGCAGAACATATGTGAGGAGATGAAAGAGATGTTAGTGTGGATAGAATTCAAAGTATCAAGGTGGATAATGGCTGTCATGTTCGGACAAAACATCGACTTAAGAATGGAGATTACTCGTATTGGTATTTACTAAATATTATATAACCAGTCCGCATCTATTACAGCTTCTTTGTAAATGTCATTATAGAAGCCAGTGTTTCTGATATCAGTTACAGTCACATCCCACTGCGGAACCATGCCCCAGCATCCCTCATGCCCTCATAATGGATATAACTATGATTCAAATTCATTCCAATACGTTATTTTTTTAATTTGTTGATAGGAAAGTGGGAATCTGATCGGCAGATGCCCTGAAGTTGAGGGGGCTGGATTTGTAATCAAAAATAAAAAGATAAGGCCTGGGAATTATATTGATATTCTAATGAGCCTAGATATCTTCTTAGATTTTTGATATTACAGTATTATAAGACGGCAGTTGTTGTCTGTAAAGGTTTTAAAGGATGCAATACAGTACATTTATGTAAACCGAATTGTTTTATTATTTGTCTTTACCCAAACATTATATTCACACTTCTCATGATAACTTAAGAAGATCTTGTTGTGTAAATATCTTATTAAAGCATCAGAAGTCAACCCTACACGTTTGTCGTAGTACCGATATTGTGTTATTATGTAAAACATATTGTGATGTCTTTGTTAACGCTATTTTTGACCATGAGGAAATTGTGATAGAGCTACAGTAGCAGGAGCGAAGGGTTAGGTGCAACACTTTTAGAACAAATATTATGGTTTAGAGCAGGGCTGATTTGTATGTGACCCGCAAGAGCTTGCAAAGAATATAATACGTTTATTATATGATTACATGACGCTTTACAGAAGCATGTTGTCCATACACTACATGTCCCACAATGCATCTCAGTTTGTGAAATGAAGAGACTTGCAATTATTTGCCCTAGACTTCTGCATTCAGACATAGTTAATTATGAAGTTATTACCCTCTCCGATAATAATCTATGGCAGAGGCAATAATGTAATATAATACATCATTTTATATATGTATATTTATATAGTCTTAAAGTTACAACCGGCCCTTTTGAGTGCAACCATAACACTAATGTGGCCCGTGATGAAATTGAGTTTGACACCCCTGGTTTAGAGAAATGGATAAAGATGCAGAGAAGTCGGGCAGAGGCATACAGACGTATTGTAGCTGCAGACTTGATGGACGGGCTGGGTCCACAGTACCAGATGGAGCCTCTCATCATTTCCCATCTCTTGTGCCCGCCTCCCACAGTGTAATCTCCTGGATCGAAGACATGCTGGAGCGTGATGTCAACGACAACAAGAAGATCGGTAACTATGGCGCCCAGCACATCCTGTCCGGCGTTCCGAGGGACTCTGTTACCATCCTCACACACTGCAACACCGGCTCGCTCGCCACCGCTGGATACGGGACAGCACTCGGTGAGACTGGAGCCCGGGGATGTGCAATGAGAAAAGAGGGTGAAATATTTAAGGCACTGTCATGGTAATAATGTGTGTATTTGTGTCTAGGCGTGGTGAGAAGCCTCCACACGCTGGGCAGGCTGAAGCGTGTGTACTGCACGGAGACGAGGCCGTACAACCAGGGGTCCAGACTGACGGCGTACGAGGCGGTCGCAGAAGGAATCCCTGCTACCCTTATCACCGACAGCATGGCGGCCCTGACCATGAGAGAAATGAACATCACAGGTGTGTGTTTGCGTCCATTTTTCCTTTTTATTCAAAGGCTGCAGTCAAATTGTCAGTTTCTCTTAGGAACCTTCCTAATGGAGTTAAATGACCCGGAAGTACCTCAGTGGCAGCCATGATAAGAGTCGTTCGAATTCTCTAGATCAGGGGTTTTCAAAGTGTGGGAAGGTGAGCCTCCCCTCAGAGAACATAAGAACAGCCGCGCCCCCGCTCCCAATTATTATTAGTATTATTATTGTTGTTGTTGCTATAATGCAGGGCTGTTATTATCCAGTGGAATGTCCTTATCTTTCATTTTTGTAAAGCACCTTAAATTGCCTTGTGTTGAAAGGTGCTATATAAATAAACTTGCCTTGCCTTACCTACTGGCCTAGTTAAATCAAAGTGGTTACTTTCTTTTGGCTGGGCAGTGTACACACCGTCTTTTTTGACTTTCTCATGACTTAAAACAGTTTTTTGGGAGCAGACCCCCACAAAGAAAAAAATATATTTACACACGTACGGTCATCATCTTAACAGTTTTTTTTATGCTCATCGAGTCATCCGTGAGCAGAGCATCAAGTTGGCATGCCTATAACAGCTGAATGCGGCGATTACCATCTTGTTCAGCAAAACGCCTCACAAACTTATTAAGATCTAAAGCTTTAGTGTGTTTTGATTCAATGCTGAGTACAGCCAAACTTGATAGTCTCTTCTCTGTTATTGTAGATCGCAAATACCTCATTGTTTCTGCCTACTTGGGGTCCGAATGCGCCGTCCCGTTCAAATGAAATCGCCGCCAATCACATGTCCTCGCTCGCGCCGGGGGAGGGGTTACAAGGCTGCGTCTTATGCTGCATTCACTTGCACTCGGACATTAGAGATTTTCTCTCATAAATGTCCGATGAGCCACAACTTTTATTTCAAAACAAAGCTGCAAACTGGGGTGGAAGCCGGGGTGGAAGCTGGGGTGGCAGTTGCCACCCCATGCCACCCCGGTAGATCTGCCCCTGCTTGACCGGTACTTGCTTTTGATCGAAGTCAATGCAGAAAACCCGCACTCACACAGGTAGGCGGAGGTGAAGGGAATGAGCACTTTTACAGCCTTTTTGGC